AGGCAGGCAGGCAGAGTGGTTAGGGGTGATCAGGCAGGCAGGCTTAGTGGTTAGGGGTTATCAGGCAGGCAAGCGGTTAGGAGCTAGTGGTCCTGAATTGCAAGAGGGTGCAGGTCAGGCTGAGGGATGCCCCTCACCCCCATGCATGAATTTCATGCATCAGCCTCTATTATAGAATAAAGCATAATAAAGATACAACCCATTGATGGTAAGTTTGGTTTACACCCCCCAGTTCCAAAGCTGACCTTACATTTCACTCAAATGAGAGGCACAATCAAACTCAGTGCTCCTTTAAGACTGGGTCTATATTTGTATGTCACAGATTCAGAAGGGATCAAAATGATTCATGTTTATTCCATCCTGCCTTGGCCCTTATATGTGGTGGTAACCTCAACTAGTAGTAGCCAACAACTAGTGGATTTCCTTCATAAATTACACTGTGGTGAATCAATTGGACAAACACCAAGTCCCATCCAAATTGACTTTAGTCACATAGACAAAGCCTATAAGTTGAGGGAAGAAAGCAGGAAAGCAAAAGTGGGATAAGAGACAGAAGGGCTTTACTGAATGAGCTAAGCATACATGTTTTCATACCTCCTAATGTGCCTAGTTAATGCATTAGTTATGTTTAGCCAGCTACATTATTAGAAGATCCATGAGCTCTGACACTCCTGATTTTGTAAAGATGACATGCAAAACTACATTAATGAGGGTTTCTAAATTTTGTAAATCTGCCCCATAAAACGGTGACTCTCAGATTAACCCAAATAGAACTTTTGGTCACATCCAGGATGTTGCTTTCACCAGACAGTGTAAAGCACTGATTACTCAAACCTACAACAAGCAATATATTCATAGTCATCTACCTTTTTGAACATTAGGAAGCCATTTTCTTATGAAGATGCCTTTTTATTAGAGTGAGACTTTTTTTCACAATAAATATGAAAATAAATATAATCAGCATACAAGGGGCTAGAAAACTGCATTAAAATCACACTGGAAAAACTCCAGTGGTCAAAATGTTTTAGGTGCTTTTACACTTTAGTGAGACTCTATATTGATTTGTTTCATGTATTTTCTTACCACTAAATATTCATATTTAAATGATTTAAGCATTTACTGGAATCCTGCAAATCATAAATAACAACTTGTGCTCTTTTTTTCCACATTTAGGCAGTTTCTAAAATTATTGAAATTTAGCATCAGAATTTAAAGGTTGATAAAAATGTTGTCCAGAACACTTAAAGTATCAATTGGTTATGATTATTGTACCCGTTGCTTTTAAAAATGTTAGTGAGATTTTTAAAAGCATATTATGATACTACTAAAAGGTAAATTGTATTCACATTTATGCATTTTTAGAATATGCCTAGCATATAAATGTACATCATTTTAATAATTAAACATAAAATAAATTTGCTCAGATTATATATGTAAAATATTAGTTTATATACACACATGCATAATTATTTGTAAATAATCCTCCTCTCTCATAAAATAAGAAGAATTAAGCTTATTCATTTCACTTAAATGAAGAGCATGAATATAGGAGCTTATCCCTGCCCCACCTCTAGTAGTCATGAATTAAGCAGTTATAGAAAGAAATGTGTCATTTACTGTACCTTGCATAGCAGTACTGTCATGAGGAGTCCCGTTGTTTTCTATTTCAATATCTTCAATCCCAGTATCTGAAAAAAGTGACATTCAGGATTAAGGTACAATTCTTTTTCTTCTGATTCCTTTTAAAGTGAAATCTATCAGTAAGCCAGTACTTTGGTCCTATACATAACACAAAAAACTTGGATGGCATGTTTGTTTTTGTTTTCTAGATGTATATTTGGTTTTTTGTTAGGAAGGGGAGTTATAAACTGTAGCTGAATTCTACAATTGGGCATATATTGTCAGCTCTATAGTAAATACTTCTTTATGCATTTCATTCTCTAGAGATAAATCTCAGAAAATTAATTTATCCAAAAAATCTCCTTACACTATCAGGTAACATGCCTTGACTGTGGAATATCTAAAAGATGGATACAATTGCATAAGTGGAAGTGCTTCATCCTGATAGTATATTTTTCTTTTGTAAAATGTGATAGGTGATGAGTTTATCTCTATGCTAAGCACTCATGAACACCACAACACAGTTTACAGCTTGTGGTCTTGATTTAGTATAGGCTCTAATGGCAAAGGAATACATGAATTGCTTAAAAATAACCTGAAGAAAAGAAACAAGGAGTTGGGTTTTTATTTTCAATTTTAAATATAAAAAGTAATTATCTAAAATTATTCATACACATCAAGTAGAGTTAATATGGGCATTTCTGCACATAGACATTTGCTCAGACACATTTTTGTAATGTTATAACAGATGCCAGTGTATCACCCATTGCCATAAGGGATGCACTTGACAAGGAAATTATCTGAATACAAGATACCCATCATACTTATAAACAGCTGCTTTTCCTTTACAGTTAGGAAAACTGGAGCTAGAGTGGAGATCACTTATGTTTGATTTCTAAAACTTTTTTTTTTAAAAAGCCAAACTTCCTCAGAATTACAAGTTTAGGACCTCAAATAATAAGACTGCATAGAACATTTCTTCTATTGCTGGTCACAAATTATTTTTAAGACTGAGTAAACAAGGATGCTGGTTCCCGCTGTCTGAGATATCCCATTGTGTGAAATATTAATGTAGTATTACTATTTACTTTCTCTCTTCTTTGTCTCAATGAGGCATGGTTGATATGAGCTAATAATCTAGCACTGTATATCTATTGATTGTGAGCAGAATGGTCCAAGAGAGTCATAGTAAAAAAAGGAATTGAACTTTTGGAAAGGAAAGAATACAATTAAACAGTTGTAAAACTCCATTATTCATTCTTAGTATAGGACACTAAAGCACTCCCCTGTTAGTTACTGTGTATGTAATATGTCTGTAAGGAGTATGTGTAAATATGTACATAAAATCCTTAAGCTCATCCTTGTTATACACACACTAGAGGCCCAGTGCACGAATTCACACATGGGTGGGGTCCCTCTGGGTGGCCTGCAGGGATCGGGCCGAAACCCACAGTCCAATGCCACCTGTAGCTCCTACCTGCTGCTTCAGCTCATCCCGGCCCCACTGTGCCTGCCACAGGTTCACACCCAATCAGTCCCAATTGGGAGAGGCTCATGCTGGCACAGTCGCACTTACAAGCCATGAGCCCTGCATCTGGTGTCCTCCCCATGGGAGTGGCATGCGGGATCGAGCTCAAACCTGCTCTCTGACATTCCCCGAGGGGTCCCGGATTGTGAGAGGGTGCAGGGCAGGCTAAGGTACCTCACTGGTGCACAATCAGTCCAGGGAGGGACCACAGGAGGGCTCCAGGGCATGTCTGGCCCATCTCACTCAGTCCCGATTGACCAGACTCCAGCAGCAAGTTAATTTACTGGTTGGAGCATCTGCCTCCTGGTGATCAGTCCCTTTTATTATATAGGATATTAGTTAAATATAGGAGTGGTCAATGTGCTATGAGAGGAGAACCTGACTATTCTATGAGGTGAAATAATGTTCTTGAGTTTCATAATTAAAAATTGAAATAAACCTGGCTGCCATGGCTCAGTGGTTGAGCATTGGCCTATGAACCAGGAGGTCATGGTTTGATTCCCAGTCAGGGAACATGCCTGGGTTGCAGGCTTGATCTCCAGTGTAGAGCATGCAGGAGGCAGCCAATTAATTATTTTGTCTCATCATTGATGTTTCTATGTCTCCCTCTCTCTTCCTCTCTGAAATCAACAAAAACATTTTAAAAACTAGAAACAAAGCACTGGCCAATGTTGCTAGGTAGTTGCCAGGGTTGCAGGTTTGATTCCCACTCAAGGGCCTGTACCTGGGTTGCAGGTTTGATCCTTGGCCCTGGTCGGGGCGCTTGCTTGAGGCAACTAATAGATGTGTCTCTCATATCAATGTCTCTCTCTCTCTCTCTCTCTCTCTCTCTCTCTCTCTCTCTCTCTCTCTTTCTCCTTCTCTCTCTCCTCCCCTATGTCTATCTCTTCCACTCTATCTAAAAGATCAATGGAAAAAATATTGTTGGGTGAGGACTAAAAAAATGGAAACAGAAAAGTTTAGAATTAAGAAATTTCATAACAAAAGCACCTCTTCTCAAAGGATCTCCTGGGATTTACTTGGAACATCCTTTTTCAACCAGATGCTCCTTAAACCCTCAACACTGATGCCATCTGTTTTAAAAGTACCAGCATTGGTAGTTCATTAAAATAGAGTATACTAAACATCATCGTATTTTAACATTAATGGACCTGTAACACATTTTAGGTGCAGGGAAGTTATTAGTACTACTTTTTTTTCTACTGCAAAACCCAATAGGATTTCTTGTTATTCCTAAACTATTTATCTCCCAGAATACAGATTATTTTGACAGATTTAATTAATGACCTAAATCACTTGGCCTCACATTGATTTTTAATAATTCATGTACAAAGTCTTTTCCTTCTCTCCTCCCTTCTTTCTTTCTTTCTTTCTTTCTTTCTTTCTTTCTTTCTTTCTTTCTTTCTTTCTTTCTTTCTTTCTTTCTTTCTTTCTTTCCAATCAAAGAATAACATCAGTAGCAAAGATAGCAATGCTTCTCTTGGCAGCAGGATCTTCTTTCATCTTCCCTGTTTTTTAAATGGGGTTTTGCTTTGAGTAACTTGAATGTGTTTAAGTCCAAATCACACATTACCTTTCAACATCCTCAGGCCACTGTCATTACTAGTGGTTTGTTTAAGGGCTTGTTCCACTTGCTCCCGACGCTTTGATTCAAATTCCAAAGCTTCCTGCAGTTTTCTCTTGGATTTTTTCTCCTTCTTCAGGCGCTTTTGCATGGTAGCTAAAATGTGAAAAGCTAAACAGCTTACAAAGCCTTGGTCAGTGAAAGAGAGTTGTCAATTTTGATGGATAATAAACTACTGATAGAGAGAGATATATAAATGTATCAGTCGAAATATGATTAGTTTCCTTTGATTCCAGTTCTCATTAGCTCAGCCAAGTAGTGCTCAATCATAGCACTGACTTGTTTTTGCTTTTGTCTTTCCAATGTGTATGCTCTTTAATACACACACTTTTGTATGGTGGTGGTAGTAGTGCTGGAAACTTGTTTTCTATTTTGACTAACAACATGCTTTTAATAATAGCATTAAATATCTTAGAAAGCTCTTAAGAAAGACATTCTTATTATTTATCAGAATATTGCTATTCATATTTTAAAATGTAAAACTGATATGTTTTTTAAATTTTAAAGTTTCAAGTATATTTTTCTATCTATATATCTATCTATCTATCTATCTATCTATCTATCATCTTTCTTTCTATCTAGCCATCCATCCATTTTAAAGATAATGTTTGGCAACCTTTAAAAGCACAACATTTTTTTGTAAGCAGAAAGAGTAATGAAAGCTAAAAAATAACTCTACCTTAACTTGCAATGCTTTACAGTTTGGAACCCAAGAAGAAAATACCATTTTATGTGATCCCAAGAAGGAATTTATATGCTGAGATGGACTACCCATGATCAACCAATGACCCAAATTTTATGGATAATAAGAGCCTAACAGCATTTGCTGAGCTTGCTTCTGTAAAGGGGACAACTGGCTGTACCCAACCTGAACCTGCAGCTCGCTCCTCCTGTTTGAACTATACTTGAAAACACTGGCAAAGATTGAGAAATATGGCTCTGGAGTAAGGACCACTTTCTCCTCATTGAGTGTCTGATCATGTGGCCCCCATGTATGGGATACAATAGCCACATCCTTCTGACCTCAGTCACACTACACTAACAAGCCCGCAACCTATTGAAGGGTCGGTGAGTTGTGGTCAGACTGAATCCAGTCTACATTCTTTCTTTGGAAGGCTCTGTGGGAGGACCATGTAACCTCAGCATAAGCTGGAGTAGCTGACAAATGGAGGTGAACCTCAGGGAGCCTCAGACAATTTATATACTTGCTCCCAGCACTAAGCTGATGGAAGCCAACACTTTTACACAAGTTGGCCCCTCCCACACAAACCCAGTGCCAGTAGATGCAGCCATAGTGAATAACATGATAGCTCCAGACAGGTAGCTCAAGGCTGATTACATACAATATTTGACACTAACCTGTACCTGAACCCCACCCAAGTAAACCCAGAACCAATACAACCTGTGTGGACTTCAGAACACACCAGAGCTGCACCCAACTAGCCACACAAGCAGCACACCAAAGAGGGATTTCAGCAGGCACCAGACCCTGTTGGAAACAACTCTGTCTTGGGGTGCAATCACTTTATAGTGTCTCCTATATGATGATCTAAATTTATCCTCATAGTCAACCAGCCTGAAGGGTTAACTCCACCCACAAAAGGCCAACAACACTCAAGTCGTGATTACTACAGGAGGGTACCCATAACCCAGAAAAAAACATTCCTGGAGCATTAGGCTCAGGTGATCTGGAAGATTGTGCCACTGAGCCCAACAAGATACCTTCATCATAAACCCATTATAAGAAGTTTAGGAGTCATAGTAGATATACCTAATATACAGACAGAATGGAGAGACAAAAAAATATGTATAAATGAAATAACAAGAAAATTCTCCTGAAAAAAAAAATAAATGAAATGAAAGCAACAAAAATACCAGACACAGAGTTTAAAATAATGCTTATAAGAATGCTCAAGGACCATAGGAGTAGAATAGATAATCTCAGTGAGGAATTAAACATAGAGATATTAAGCATTAAAAAGGACATAAGAACTATAAAAAAGAACCAGTCAGAAATGAAGAATACAATATCTGAAATGAATATATTAGAAGGAATCAACATCGGGTTAGATGAAACAGAGGATAAAATCAGCAATTTAGAGGACAAGATAACAATAAGCAGATACACAGAGCATCAAAAAAAAGATAATTTAAAAAAATGAGGGAAGTCTAAGAAAATTTTGGGACAACATCAAGCATAACAACAACTGCATCATAGGAGTACCAGGAGGATAAAAGAGTGAGCAAAGGATAGGGAACCTGTTTGAAAATAATGGCTGAAAACTTCCTTCACCTGGTGAAGGAAAAAGTCACACCAGTTCAGGAAGCACAGAGAGTCCCAATGAAGAGGTCAAGCAAAGGACTTGTATGCATGCATATAAGCATAAACAATGGATACAGACACTTAGGGGGGTGAGGGCATGTGCCAGGGGATGGGAGAGCCCTGGGGGAGGTCAATGGGGGAAAAAGAGGACATATGTACTACTATTTGTAATACTTTAAACAATAAAAATGATGAACCTAAAGAGGCCCACACTAAGGCACATCATAAATCAAATGGCAAAGATTAAAGACAAAGAGAGAATATTAAAAGCAACAATAGAAAAGCAGTTAGTTATATACAAGGGAGCTCCCAAAAGACTGCCAGTTGATTTCTCAATAGAAGCTTTACAGGCCAGAAGGGATTGACATGAAATATCCAAAGTGATGAAAAGCTAGGAGTTACAACCAAGACTACTCTACCTAGCAAGGTTCTCATTTAAAATTGAAGGAAAAATAAAGAGCTTCCCAGACAAAAACAAAAACAAACAAACAAACAAACAAAAAAACCTAAAGGAGTTCATTATCACCAAACCAGTATTGCAAGAAATATTAATGATCCTGCTTTAAGAAGAAGAAAAAGAATATATACAGAGAAGAATATAGGTATAAAAAATAAATAAGTACCTATAACTAAGAAAATTGAATGTAAATGGTTTAAATGTTCTGATCATAAGACACAGGTTAGTGAAATGGATAAGAAAATATGACCCAGCTTATAAAAGCGGTCGCCAGGAAGGTGGGAATGGCGCATGACAAGGACAGGTTGCATTGTCATCACGTCATCATCAGGGTGCAGTCAAGAAGAACAGACACTTCCACACGATGCGAATGAAGTACTGTCAGTTAGACTTTGAAATTTCCTCCACAAGTGAATTAGGGGCAATTTAGGAATTTCCTTTAATTGAACACGCCCCGCACTGCGCCACCACCACCTGGAAACATCCCTAAAGGGTTGAAGGGTTGATAGTAATAGAAACAGGAAGGTGCCTGGTACGCGGTGCCTTGTTGTGTTGTATTTTGTGCCTTTAAATCAAAGCAGCAGATCCAAGCAACAGCAGCCTCCTGAGCACCACACCCTCTGTATGAGGAACAGCAGCTGTACGTGAAGCCTCCCCGCACCAGCCAGAAGAGCCACCACAGCTGTGAACAGCACCCACTAGAGGAGCTGCTCCCAACTGAGGAACAGCTGCTACCACAACCACCCGAAGAGCAACCGCAGCCCAAGGAGCCACTGCCACCCAGGGAGCAGCCACTGAACAACTCAACATCTACATATGGCAGTACAATCAAATATGGGTAGACAAAGAAACAC